AGTGGAGGGGGGGCCACAGACCATGTGTGGAGGAGGTAGGCATATCTCCCCCCCCCGCCCCAAGATTTCTGCACCCCCAGTGGGGAGCAGGGCTGCAGCCGTGCTGCAGCTCAGGGCAAGAGCAGGATGAATTTGATTTAAATCAAATGGATTTAAGTCACAATTTAAATCACTGGTCAAGAAGCATCAATTTAATTATTGTCCTATTCGCCATCTTCAAAGCAGCTTCCTGCTGAGGAGCAGTTCTTATGATGTTGTTTCATTCAGGCAACCAGGCCTTGCATTTCTTTGTTGCACTCTTTGCATTTTGCATGCATGCCCTCTCACCCAAAGGTAGAAGATCTTCATTAAAATATTCCCAAACAGGGTCTCTTCTGGCCTGGCAAGCCTGCGGCGACAAATGACGCATGCCCCCAGAGGCTGGGGGGGGAAGTGGGGGGCATGACGACCGCCCACAGGCGACAGTGGCAACAAGTGAGGACCTCCCACAGGCAGCCGCAGCAGTGTCAGCAGCCTGGGGAGAGGGGGGGAGCACCGACCCATGGTCAACGACCACCTTCACATGTAGACCACCTTCACATGTAGCCAACTGTTTCGGCGGGTGAGGTGGGGGGGGAGCGGGTAGCAAGAGGCAACTGACCGCAGGCACCACCAGCAGCATCAGTGACAGCCAATTGCAGGGGGTGCACATGCACCTGTGTGCATCCCCTATGTGTCGCCAATGCCTGGGGCCATGACAGGTTTTCCCTTCTACCATACCACTCCCTCACTAGATCTCAAAATCAATGGAGAGGCTATACTAAAAAACTTATCCCTCAAGACTTCTGGAATCTTCTGCTCCAAATGTTTCTCTTTTGTTTCTACTGCCCCTCCCTCCTTGCATTTATCTCCAGACTCCTCCTCCTTGCCCCCATCTACTCTACCTCCAACAAACCTCTGTTCATTTAACTTCTTGAAACTTCGCACTTTTAGAGAGATAAGGGCTTGATTCTGTACACAAACTTGCAGAGACAATGGGGCTGACGGGCAAATAATCAGGTCTGTTGTCTCTCATCTCCATATATGGACTTATATAGATAAATATATCAAAATTACCATGTGTGTACACACACACACACACACACACACGCTTCATTCTGATGTATATCTATATCTAGATAGAAAAGCATCACAGA